TGTGGCATGTTCCCTTTCTTCTACACTTACTACATACGCCTTTTCTCTGTCCCAGACTGTGTAACAGGAGCTTCTGCCTGTTAGTAAGAAGGTAAGGAGAGGAGTGTACAAATGAGTACTAGGGGACAGTCCTTTGAAAGCATGGAACGAGCACATGATTAGATGCATATATGCCAAGATTTGTCTGATTTGGGTTGAAACCCGAGTTTCCAAGTTCCTCATTACCACTGCTGTAAACACTTTAATTGCAAATGTTTAAGAAAATGTTAAAACCTCTCAGTCAGCATTTACAGTGTTTAAGGTACTGAGTATTACGTACCACAATTCTAACAATGTAATCTTTATCTTTGTTGTGGTGGCTGATGGGAGAGCCGAATAAGCCATTAGGTGCTTAAACCCGGTTACAGGTATTTAAAAAAAAAAAAAAAAAAATGTTTGTGTGCCAGGAAAGACATTTGAAGCCTCACACATTTATAGAGGGAGTGTAACGGACCGTTTTGCACAAAAGGGGTAAAAACCGTTTAGGCAATCGGCCCCCTTTCCAGAGATGCAGGCACAGCTACTGCAGAACACCAAACTCCCGGACTGGATACAAAATAGCACTCCAACTCCCGAACTGGAACCTCCCAAATAGCTGCTAGCAGACGAACAGGAAAAGCAGACAACCAGCTTACACTCCTGGCAATCAGTCTCTAACAGCATACAATGAATCCCCCCCAAGAACGAGACAAGGCTCCGTGTTGAGGGTCAAGCAGTGGTCTGAGGTGCTGGCACACCCAGCCTGGTTTTTATTACAGTGTTGCAAATACAGGACCGCCCACAGGGAGGTATAAAATATCCAGTAACATATTAGTTACAACCCACAGATTCCCTCCCCCTTATCCTGAGAAGTAACCCAATTACCCCTTCCTTTTTACCACAATGCATCCTGGCTTCCTCTCCTCTGCCCAGGAGATAATTGTGAAGTAATTAAATTATCTCCCAGGACAGAGACAAGACTCCATTATGCACATGGTTTGCACAAAGCATTAAAATACTGTACAATACACAAAGTCCCATTTTATACATAAAACACAGACATGTCAGAGGCAAGACTCCATTATGCACATGGGGACACAAAACAAGCATTAATGTTAAAATACACCAGGTAAGACACATTACATTAAAACTATACATTTAACTTATCCCCAGATAGCTCAGGTCTGAGCGCACATTATTAAGTGAATGGCGCTCAGACCACACAAATACAGTTTTTACAGTCAGTTTCATACGAATGGGCTCCATGGGATTCCTATCTGGGGTATAACACATTCAAACAAATCTACAAATCACAGTGAGAAGACACTGAACGTCCATAGGAAAGCATTGAGTAATACTTTCCTATGGGCGGTTTAAATGCGCGCGCCTCTTGCCTTCGGAGCTGAGAGGCGGACACTGGGGAGTCCGACGCTGGAGAAAGGTAAATGCTGAAGACACACACTCTCACGAACAGACGCATACACACTAGCTAACAGACACACACATTTACTGACAGAGACACACTCAGCGACAGACATACATACACACTCACTTACAAAGCATACACTTTCACTGGCAAACACACACTCACTAACAGACATCAAACACACTCAGTAACAGACACACACAGTAACACACTCACTAGCAGACACACACCCAATAACAGACACACTCACTGACACACACTAACACAAACAAACACTAACACACACACACACTAACACACATACACACACACAAACACACACACATTTTTGTTTTTTAAATTTAATCCCCCCAGTCTCCTTACCTTTTGGAGTGCTGGGGGGATTCCCTGGGGTCCAGTGGTGCTGCTGGGCTGGCTGGCGGGCCATCTGGCCGATGCGCGAGGGAGCACTCTGCTCTGAGTGCTTCCTCTTCAGCTCCCTCACGCGCCGCATAGGGATGTCGGCGCCGGAAGATGACGTCATCTTCCGGCTCCGGTATCAGTGCGGTGCGCGAGGGAGCTGAAGAGGAATCACTGAGTGCTCCCTCGCGCGCCGGCCACCCAGCCTGCCCGCCCGCCGGGGTCAGCAGGGCCAGCCTCAGGGGGCCCTGAGGTGGCCGGCTCCTGGGCCCGCCAGGAGAAGAGGCTGGCCCTGTGGGTACATACCGGGTCGCAGGGGCGGCCGGGCCCCCTGGTGCGCCGGGCCCTGTCGCAGCCGCGACCCCTGCGACCCTGGTATGTACGCCACTGTAGACAATCATGGCATGCATTGCTTTCTTCTTTCTGATAATAACATAGTAAACCTAAGTGATAGATGGAAATGGCATCAGTTTTTTTTTGTTTTTTTTAAACTTCCACATTATAAATGTTGGTTAAATGTAAAAAGCTTAGATGTCCACGTAAATGACTATCCTGGGTTTAGTAACTCAACTTAATAGGTTATTTTCACTGCTTGGACCAGTCCCTTGCGGTCAGTGTGTGCCATGGAAACTTCTGTGTCATGATGATCAGCAGGCATAATGAGAATAAAATAACTGGCCAAGAGAAGTCTGGTGACCTAAAATTAAAGCTACTTACGCATTAAGCAGTATTATGGCAAATAAAGCCACAGAGCATAATCATACTAGGGGAATGATCAGCCCTGTCTGGGAACATAGTTCTTATTACTTGGCATGGTCTATAAAATGAGTTTACTATTTCCCTCAGGCGCATTTAAAGCAACACAACATTGCTGAACATTTGTGGTTGGATAGAATTTCATTAACCTTAATTTACTTGTAGTGAGTTTGCAGATTTCTTAAAGACTAAATATAAAAAAACAGAAACTTCTTGCTTCAGACCATTGTTCCACCAAAGAGGAAGAAGAATGGTTTTAGACAGACTATACATGATGAAATGTCACGGAGGAAGTGTGGATAGCCAACTCAGAAATATAATGCTGCTATATATATATATATATATTGATTTGGGGTTATTGCAGATCAGTGTCATGTTAACTATATTATGACTTCCTTAGTAGGAGACATGTCACAGCTTACTTGGAATGGAGTGTGTGTTAAGTCTGGAAGAGACAATGGGCTCCAGGACAGAAATCAGCACAGAGTAGATGTTTGGAAATTTAAAGGAACACCCTAGCTCTAGGAATACAAACATGTATTCCTAACCCTAGAGTATTATTTGTAGATTATAGGGCCCCCAGAAGTATAATTATCCCCCTGGCGCACCCACCTCAATGCAGATGCACCACCTTCGCCGTCTTGATGATCTCAGCCAATCTTTTGAATGCCCATATGGAAGCACTGGGAGGTTAGTGCACATGAAAGGCAATCATCGCGCTGTGCCAATCAGCTTCTTCTCATAGAGATAGCATTTAATGTCTCTATGAAGAGCATGGGGATGTCAAACGTCAGTCCTGCAAACTTTATAGGACCAAACCCAAGAAGTCCCTCTAGTCTAGTGGATGTCTGAGTGGTGGCCTTAGTTAGCAATGTTAACACTGCCTATTGTTTGCATTGCTGATACTGCAGGGACAGACTGTTTACCTATAACCACTACATTAAGCTGCAGTGGTTCTGATGCCTAAAGTGTCCATCTAAGCAACAATTTAGACACGTCCAATTATTTAAGGATCACTATAGGGTAAGGAACACACATATTTATTCCCTATAGTAAAAACCCACCATTTAGGTGGCTTGCCCCCCCTCCCTCCCTCCACCACACTTAGCCCCCTAAAAATTGGTTAAAACCTTATTTTCAGCTCTGCACGGGTCCATCAGCGCTGGCCCCGCCCTATGGACAATGCACTGGATTGGATAAAATCGGCAAGGGGCAAGGCTAAACGCCGTTTTGGCCAATCAGCACCTCATAGAGATGCATTAAATCGAGGCATCTCTATGAGGAAAATTCAGCGTCTCCATGCAGAATGTGGAGAAGCTGAACAGCAGGGCTGCCTACTGTGCAGCCCTGAGCCAGGGAGCACCTCCAGTTGCCATCTGAGGAGTGGCCACTTGGAGGTGTCCCTATGGGCAATGTAAACACTACCTTTTCTCTGAAAAGGCAGTGTTTACATAAAAATGCCTGAAGGGAGCTATTATACTCACCAGAACAACTACATTAAGCTGTAGTTGTTCTGGTGACTATAGTGTCCCTTTAATATTGAATGTTTAGTAATTGTTAGCAAACATCCATTTCAGGTTTATATGAAAAACAGATTTAAAATAAAAAAGATTTATTTTTTCCCCCTAAGATAAATAGTCAAACATGTAAAGAAAAAAAAAAGTTAACCACATTCAAGGCTAAAGATAAAAGTGAAATACATGGTTAGAAGGACAGATGGTGTGAGGCATACAAATGAACTTGAGGAAACAAAAAAACAAGAGACGTGAGTATGCATACAGCTTTCATACACTAATGCAGCTTTGGCATCAGATTAATTTTGTTACAAAAAACTACAGTATTTTAATTTACAGTACAGATATAAAAAAAAAGAAAGAAATGTAGATCCACCTCTGCTTTAGAAGGACAATATTGCTTACAAAACACTCACCCAGGTGCATTAATTTTTAAGATTGTTTTCTTTTACAATGCTTCTTTGCAGATACCAAGTAAAACAATACAATAAAGTTATAAAAGCAAAGATGTATTTTTATTTTTTTCTTCAACACATTGTTGTTGTTTTATATATATATATATATATATATATATATATATATATTCCACCTTATTCTTTTTGAGGGTGAAAGCTTTATAATTCTGAATTTTATATTTTATTTTTTTGTTTGCTTCTTAGCAGAGTAGCATAGATACAATTTGACACTACTCAATAAAGTTGTTCTGGATGTATTCTAGGTCTGATATTCACTGAACAAAATTATAAACGCAACACTTTTGTTTTTGCCCCCATTTTTCATGAGGTGAACGCAAAGATCTAAGACTTTTTGTACACAAAAGGCCTATTTTTCTCAAATATTGTTCATAAATCTGTCTAAATCTGTGTTAGTGAGCACTTCTCCTTTGCTGAGGTAATCCATCCCCCTCACAGGTGTGGCATATCAAGATGCTGATTTGACAGTATGATTATTGCAAAGGTGTGCCTTAGTCTGGCCACAATAAAAGCAACTCTTGATATGCCACACTTATGAGGTGGATGGATTATCTCATAGTTACATAGCTGAAAATAGACTTGCGTCCATCAAGTTCAGCCTTTCTCACATATGTTTCTGCTGTTGATCCAAAAGAAGGCAAAAAAAACCTGGTCTGAAGCGCTTCCAATTCTGCAACAAACTAGGAAAAAATTCCTTCTTGACCCCAAAATAGCAGTCAGATGTCTCCTTGGATCAAGCCGCTATTACCCCACTAATCGGAACTTATATCCTTGTATGTTATGTTTTTGCAAGTATTTATCCAGTTGCAATTTAAACATCTGTATGGACTCTGATAAAGCCACATCTTCAGGCAGAGAATTCCATATCCTTATTGCTTACTGTAACCCAAAAAAACCTTTTCTTTGCCTTATATGAAATCTCCTCTCCTTCAGCCTAAATGCATGACCTCATGTCCTATGTATAGCCCTGTTTATGTTTAGATTTACAGATAATGGTTTGTACTGGCCCCGAATATATTTGTATAATGTTATCATATCCCGTCTGAGTCGCCGTTTTTCCAAACTAAAGAGATTTACATTTTTTAACCTTTCTTCGTAACTAAAATGCTCCATTCCTTTTATCAATTTTGTAGCTCGTCTCTGTGCTTTTTCTAGTGCCATGATATCCTTCTCTAGAACAGGTGCCCTGCATATTCAAGGTGTGGTCTTACCAGCGATTTATAGAGAGGCAAAATTATATTTTCATCCCAAGAATTTATGCCCCTATTTATACATGAGAAAACTGCCTTTGTAACTGCAGATTGACATTGCTGCCTAGTTTGTGGTCTATAACAATTCCCAAATCCTTTTCGTGTGTGGTTATCCCTAATTCACTACCATTTAGGGTGTAAGTTGCTTGTGCATTCTTGACCCCGAAGTGCATAACTTTGCATTACTCTACGTTAAATTTAATCTGCCATTTTAGTGCCCAGTCCCCCAATCTATCCAAATCACTCTGCAGCAAAGCAATATCCTGCTCAAATTTTATTACTTTACAAAGTTTTGTGTCATCTACAAACACTGAAACATGGCTTTCAATGCCTATTGCAAGATCATTTATAAATATGTTAAATAGAAGCGGTGCCAAAACAGAACCCTGAGGGACACCACTTACCACTTTTGTGCAGCCTAAAAATTTACCATTAATGACAACTCGTTGTACTCTATCCTTAAGCCAATGTTCTACCTAAGAACAAGAATATTAATTTAGACCAATTTCTTTTAGTTTGAAAACTAACCTATTGTGAGGAACCATATAAAATGCCTGGGTAAAATCCAAGTAGATCACATCCACTGCAACACCCTGATCTATACTTCTACTTACTTCTTCGTAGAATGCAATTGGGTTAGTTTGACATGACCTATGTTTCATAAAACCATGCTGATTATTGCTAATAACACAGTTCTTCCCAATGAATTCCTGAATATTCTCCCTTAATAGCTCTCTGCAAAGGAGAAGTGCTCACTAACTGTTTTAGACAGATTTGTGAACAATATTTGAGAGAAATAGGCATTTTGTGTACATAGAAAAAGTCTTAGATCTTTGAGTTCAGCTTATGAAAAATGGGGGCAAAAACAAGTGTTGCGTTTATAATTTTGCTCAGTGTAAATATGGCTAATCTGAAGCTAGGAAAGGGGCAGATTTATCGATGTCTCCAAGAAGGATATGTTGAGTTCTCTCATTTTCAAGTGTCTTGGAGATTTAGGGTCTTTAGCTATTCCACTGGCGTAGAAGTACTTCTAACTACATGAAGAGTAGCTAGATGGTTGTAGATCGTTCTTTTCCTGAATTTACATTCTTTGATGAAACTTGTTTATGATAGAAAAAGTTTTTCCATGTTGAGATGGATATATGATTTAGATGGGGATTCCCACTTTTAGAAATGAAATGGCAGCACAGTATTAGCTGTTTATATCCATTTGTCAAGCTAAACTGAACTAAAGCATAATACATTTAATTATAAAGTACCTGGTAAATTGCTTTCATTCAAACTTTTATACAAAAAAAATTCATTGGCAATGAATGTCAATTCATGTCTCCGTTCTTTATTTAAATGCTTAAATGTGTCCGTCATGATCTGATCGCATGAGTAATACTTTGCACAGTGCATTTTGCCTGGCACTGCAATACTGCGTTAGTTTACATTACATGCCAATATTTCTTCTGCTTATTTTAATATTATGTTGTCCAATGGGAGGATGATACTTATCCAAAATGAATAAAAGATCACAACGCAGCAAAATAATGAGGTTTTGTATTGATATCCAGAGCTTTGTTACAATTGTTTTGATAGCTTCAGGTTTTACTATCCAATGCTGGGCTAATAATTTAGATTCGGAATCGAATATCAGACCTCAAAATGTACCCTCTCCACTTGCCGTTGGCGAGTGAACATTTAGCTCTGTCGAGTAGAAAATCAACCCTGATTTGCATTGACAAACTGTATGGCCTGGTTACTACACTACACTACACGAGTTTTAACATAATTTGTAGCTGCAATAAATAATAAAAATGGAAGAGAGGACCATGCTCAAACGAGTTTACAATTTGCTAAAATGTGCATTTAATAAAATGAAACCCATAACTGTTTCATTTGGTAATTAACCTCACTAACCAATATATGCCAGATGCATTGTGTGAGTATCCTTTGGGGATAAGCACAATTTCCTGTCTTTGTCAGATTTTGTCCACAACTGGACAGTTTGAAAATTATACATAGGATTGATTTCCTAAATACTTTTAAATCAGCCAAAAGAGTATTCCAAGTCCTTAGAAAAGTCACATGACCTCTGTGCTGTTGGGCAATCTAATAGGGTTTGCTTTAGAGTGTAAACACACAAAATGTAATTCTGTGCTAAAATTCCCAATTCGTGGTCAGCAGCCATGGCTCCAGTTAATAACCTCCAATATGTGTATGGATGGGATATAGTACGCAGGCAACTTTATTTATTTTTTCCCCCTTTCTTTTGTCATAGAATATGTTGATTTCCTGTCAGTGGTAGGTTTGAGTAATTAAGATTTATGAGAAACAGATCTCTCAAATGGTTTGTGTATTATCTTTATTCTTCTGTGCCAACAAAGCTATGGGTTACTTGATACATCAATGACACATTGCATTGACCCATTGAACACTAGTTCTGTATATATCTTGGCCACAAGAGTTACGTCTGCTGCACAAAGCTACATAAGCACAGCTGTGTGTTGGTACGGCATGACAGAGGCACAGCGAGACACAGTTTATATTACATTTCCTCAGATGAACTTGATAAATTGTTTTGGAAATGCAAAACATGTTAGGAGTGTAGCTGACCCCTCGCTGAGTGCACTTTTACATTTTAGTAACAAAAAAAAAATTCTGTGCACAAAATTGAAAATAATTTATTAATGGCAATGTCACTAAACTGCAGTAAATAAAGGAATGCTATAGTCTGCTCAGGTTCAGTTAGGATCAAACTTTGTGTTCCGAATGTCATGTTCTAGACAGTTGACGTTGTAATGGGAATAGCGTTGTATAGATCTCTGTAACGAGCCTTGATGGTTTCTGAACATCCACAGAGAGAAACTGTAAATTAAAAAGGACCACTATAGGCACCCAGACCACTTCAGCTTAATGAAGTGGTCTGAGTGCCAGGTCCAGCTAGGTTTAACCCTTTTTTCTATAAACATAGCAGTTAAAGAGGAACTGCTATGTTTATAATAGGGTTAATCCAGCCTCTAGTGGCTGTCTCATTGACAGCCGTTAGAGGCGCTTCTCACTGTGATTTTCACAGTGAGAAGACGCCAGCGTCCATAGGAAAGCATTGCATGCGCATCGCATGCACATTGCATCGCATGCGCATTCAGCCGAGGACGAGAGTCAGGGCACTATAGTGCCAGGAAAACAAGTGTTTTTCTGGCACTATAGTGGTCCTTTAAGATGCAGTATTGCCTCACTTGGTATATCGTCATTTATTGTCTCTCATAGGGTGAATGTAGGAAGTTCTGGAATGTCAGTGGAATGTAGATGCATTTAATCAAGTTTGATTTAATGGAACAATCACTGCTGAAGCCAGTATTTCATTGTACTTCTAGTTTATTTCTTTAGCACATAGGTCATTGGCTAGACCTTATGTATGGAAAGTAATTCTTGGCTAAATATGGTCCAACCCGGCAAACCATTCTGTTGTAGACTCAGATTTGCTTTTTTCAAACTTGTGTCTCTATAGTTCGGAGACTGTAGCACTGCATTCTATATTTGTTTATTGTGTAAATTTTGTGTTGTTGAAGGTGCAATCCAAGCTTGACCATAGTGTGCTTCCTCACATGTGCTGCAGTTATCTGAGACATAGACGTGAACATGTATAGCTGACATCAACATGTTTGTGTAGTAATTGAATTTGCAATGTAAATTGCTACTACTTAGTACCGTGTGTTTCACTTATTAATAATGCAACTCGTAAGTCTTTAGTTAATCATCTAGTAACAATTATTTAGCCACTGCTGGTTTTCTTGAAATGGATTTTAAGGTCTCTAATTAAAAGTATCTCTGTGCCCTTGAGGTTTTTTTTAGAGTTTCTAAAATGAAAATATTTTGTGTTGGGAGAAGAGATAATCTGCTGATTTTGTAGCCAACTCCATTTATACTCTTAGATCTGTAAAGTGCATACTAATTGTTCCCTTGAGAATGATAAATGTTAACAATCTTAATAAATATGGCACCTATCATTCGTATTGATTTGTAAAATAACTTAATGCATTATTAAACAAAGTGGGAGGAAACGTACTTAATAGAAAACAGCTAGTATTAAAGAATAGTGTGGTGAGAGGAAAACACAATATTACTCCCCAATGATTAAAGGAACACTCAATTATGGAAAAATAAATAAAAATCACTGTTTAGCAGACAGAACCCCAATAAAAGCATGAAAAAACAGGTTTATATCTAAAACCCTCTGCTTTGCAGAATTTGCAAGCCCTTCCCTCTTACCCCAGCACAAACTCTAGTCTGTGTCGGAGATACTGTAGTCCAGGGGTGT